AGTAGTGGTAGTAGTAGTAGTAGTAGTAGTAGTAGTAGTAGTAGTAGTAGTAGTAGTAGTAGTAGTAAGTAAGTAAGTAAGTAAGTAAACTTTATTTCTATAGCACCATTCACAGACACAAACATCACAAAGTGCTTCACAGAAAGCAAAAAATAATTAAAAACAATAAAACAGATCACAGATATAAAAACAACAATTAAAACACAATAAAAACACTTAACTAAAAGCCTGTCTGAATAAAAATGTCTTCAGAGGTTTCTTAAAAGAGTCAGTAGAATCTGAGCAGTGAAGGGACAGAGGGAGAGCGTTCCAGAGCCTCGGGGCCACCACCTGAAAAACTTCGTCTCCACWGGTTTTATAATGGGTTYGAGGGACCACCAGCAGCTTTTGATTAGAAGACCTCAGAGTCCTGGATGGACAGAGAGGCTTCAGAAGGTCCAGTATGTATTTGGGGGCCTGACCATGAAGTGCTCTGAAAGTTAAAACTAAAATTTTAAAATGACTCCTCAAAGTCACAGGGAGCCAGTGCAGAGAGGCTAAAACAGGTGTAATGTGGGCTCTCCTGWGGGTCTTTATTAATAACCTCGCTGCAGCGTTCTGCACAGACTGAAGCAGAGTCAACGAGGATTTGTTTAGACATGTAAAAAGACTGTTGCAGTAATCTAAACGAGAAGAAATAAAAGCATGAACAACCATCTCTAGTTCCTTCTGTGACACAAAAGATCTCAGCTTTGAAATGTTCCTTAAATGATAAAAACAGTTACGAACTAAAATTTTACAATGGCTGTCAAAAGACATAGAACTGTCAAAGACAACACTGTATTGTGTATTATTATTATTATTATTATTATTATTGTTGTTGTTGTTGTTGTTGTTGTTGTTGTTGTTGTTGTTGTTATTATTATTATTATTATTATTATTATTCCTTAGAAGATTATTTGTTCCAATAAAGCACAACTTCTTTCAGTGGCAATGTTTTCTTATTCCCTAGCTTGGATAATGTTGTCATCTGACAACAAGTGCTAAATACAACAGAAACTGAAAAGGAGGAGTAGGTCTACTATTTCTATTTTAGTGTAAAATTCTCAGGGTACTCCAGTTTCCTCTCACAAACATACAATAGGTTACCTGCAGGCCCAGGGCTCCCTTGCAAAAGAGATCTGTGAGCTCAGTGGGATTTGCCTGGTAAATTAAAACTCAAGTGCAGTGGTGGGCATAGTTCCCCTAAAGCACTAATAGGGGAACTAATTTCCTGATTTGTGCTTAGGGATGTTGCTAATTTTAAAATTTATTAGTGGATTAGCACTTGCTAAATTTGTAGGCTAACCTTATAAGCACTAACTGAGGTCTATAAATGTTATTGATCAACATTATTGTTAACAGATGATGGTGAAAGCTGTCACACATTTTGTTCATGTGTGTCACTTATCCACCAGGTGACATATTGACAATATATGAACTCAAACACAGCTGTAGAATGTCAATGATAAGTATTACAAGATCAACATGGCAACATGTGACTCATGTTGTCTGTTGAAGAATGTTCACGGGTTGACTGGGTTATTTTAGTGCTTTAGAATTAGCTTTTGCTAAAACTTTCAGTGCATTAGAGCTTTAGAATTAGGGGACCTAAATATTTGAGTTAGTGTTTTAGGGCTGGTGGAACTAATTTTTGATTAGTGCTGCTCGCCACTGCTGAAGTGTAATATTGAAAGTCATACTTTTTATTTATTTATTGTAAAACATCACACTATTCAAAATAGATTAAAAATCTGTGTATGGCTACATGTCCAAATGCACACAATAAAAACTTCATGAAAAGTTGAAAAATACAGTAGAAGCAAATGTATCAAAAGACAATAAAAATATTCAAATAGTCAGCAGAAAACTGAGAATTAATGGTTTAGTTTTCTTTTTTCATGTTTCATTTAACAAATGCAAACAAAACAATGCAAATTACTGTATAAGGTGTGCAAATAAAAAACCCAAAAATCAAACATCAAATTATTTTTTGCATTTTTCTACATGTAATATTATT